TGTGTCCCCCCAAGCAGGTAGAAGGCAGAATGGGCCCCCCACTCCGGAGGATGGTTGTGTTTGCAGCCTCTGTGTTCAGCCTCGTGAGCAGCTCCTGACAGCTGGAAGTGACCCCCGATAAGTGACAGTCCAGGGAGCAGATCGGCTCCCCGGTGCACATCGGACATCGTTCTATTTCGGAATAAAATCGGTTTTATATCTACCGGGAAACACATGAAGGGAGAGAATATACTCCAACACTGGAGTGACAGAGAGTGGGGCGTGTCTGATGTGTAACCAATAGCAGTGCAGGCAGCTTGCTGTGTACCGACCAATAGCAGCGCAGAACGTTTAGCATATAACCTCCGGCCAGCACAGGAGGGAAACGTATTTGTCCGATAGACTTTGTGGAATCATGACGGAGACTGAGAGCGCCCCAGCCGCCGCTCCTCCAGCGGAGGCCGCCGCCAAGAAGAAGCCGGCTAAGAAGGCGTCAGCCGGAGGAGCCAAGAAAGGCATCAAGAAGGTGTCCGGTCCCGCCGTGTCCGAGCTCCTCGTCCAAGCCGTGTCCGCTTCCAAGGAGCGCAGCGGGGTGTCCCTGGCCGCCCTGAAGAAGGTCCTGTCCGCCGGAGGATACGATGTGGACAAGAACAAGAGCCGCCTGAAGATCGCCCTCAAGGCGCTGGTGACTAAGGGGAGCCTCGTCCAGGTCAAAGGCCATGGGGCCTCCGGATCGTTCAAGATCAACAAGAAGCAGCCCGACGGCGCCAAGGCGAAGCCCAAGAAACCGGCAACTAAGAAGGCCACCAAGTCCCCCAAGAAAAAGGCGACCGGCAAAGCCCCCACCGCAGCCAAGACCCCCAAGAAACCGGCCGCCAAGTCCCCCAAGCAGAAGGCGGCCAGCAAAACAACCTCCGCAGCCAAGAGCCCCAAGAAGAAGCCGGCCGCCAAGAGACCAGCAAAGGCTGCCGCCAAGAAGGTGACCAAGAGCCCCAAGAAGAGCAAAGCTGCAGCCAAGCCGAAAAAAGGCGCCAAGAGTCCCGCTAAGGCCAAGCCGGCAGCTAAGAAGGCGGCTAAGCCCAAGAAGGCCGCTCCGAAGAAGAAATAATGGGCGGCGACCTCCTTCATCTCCACCCCCCAAAGGCTCTTCTCAGAGCCCCCCCCCACCTCCCCCCAACAGAGCTCTCCATACACCGACATCGCTGAGTGCGCACTGCTCCGCATATCATCTGTTCCCGATATAGAAGATCTAATAGAAGACAATTCCCACACACTGCCTGATCTCTGGGGGGGGGGCACTAAATGTCCCCATTTCCTCCTACATTGTGAACTCCAAGCAGCCGGCCCTCCTATCCCTCTTGTATTGTCTCCCGTTATATTGTACAGCGCTCAGCATACTGTCGGCGCCATAATCCCCCCCCCCCCCCCCCCCCCCCCCCATGTGGGTTCTTCTCATCTTCCGAAATCATTAGAGTTCTCCCTCGAAGAATAAATGTAATACCGGAGGAGGGAATAGAGGACATGACTGACCCCCCAATAGTGACATCTCCGTGTGGAAGGCTTACCCCCCCCCCCCCCATATATTCTAATCAGGTGATCGATCCTCAGATCTCTTCCTAATGATTTATCAAAGATGAGATTATCTGAGTGCTTGGGGTAACAGTTATGTATCTAAACGATCCGATAAATAATCGTGTGTGTGTGGAAGATGTGTTCATCGGCGGATGATACATTGTAGGGAGTTATGGAATAGATCTACAAGAGGAAATGTGTCGCTCAGGAGAATCAATTGTTAGAGACGAATTGAAGATCCTTCTAGTGCTCAGCCTCAAGTCCCCTCCCCCATCGGGCGCCCCCCATGTACAGACGGCGCTGCGTTGTGTAAACCGGTTTGGTTCCTTACATGTTGTAATGGGCGCCTCCAGATTGCGCTGAATTGTAAAAGGCGCCATGAGGGGGAAAGGCGGAGAAGTCCCGGTACAGAGCTCTGTGTGGGGGGAGGTGGTGGCTCTGAGAAGAGCCGTTGGTTGGCGGGTTGTGTGGAATGTCTGTTGCGGGGGGGGTCTAGGCCCTCTCTCCGCGGATGCGGCGTGCCAGCTGGATGTCTTTGGGCATGATGGTGACCCTCTTGGCGTGGATGGCGCAGAGGTTGGTGTCCTCGAAGAGTCCGACGAGATAAGCCTCTGCGGCCTCCTGCAGAGCCATGACGGCGGAGCTCTGGAAGCGCAGGTCGGTCTTGAAGTCCTGGGCGATCTCTCGGACGAGGCGCTGGAAGGGCAGCTTGCGGATGAGCAGCTCGGTGGATTTCTGGTAGCGGCGGATCTCTCGGAGAGCCACGGTGCCGGGCCTGTAGCGGTGAGGCTTCTTCACTCCGCCGGTGGCCGGGGCGCTCTTGCGGGCGGCTTTGGTGGCCAGCTGCTTGCGGGGAGCTTTCCCTCCGGTGGACTTACGGGCGGTCTGCTTGGTACGAGCCATCTCTACTCCTCTCTTGTCTGCAACTGCGAATGTAATGCGCCTCCGCTCTGCAGACAAGCTATTTATACACATCTCTGCCCTCTGATTGGACAGTGAACACACGCCTCTGATTGGTTTACTTAAAAAGCGGCAGCTTTTACAATCTCCGCCCAGACAGGCACAATATCTTTGTTAGATCGGCCATGGGTTCTCTGGGATCTCCTCACCACCAAATGAGGAAACATCGATAAGAATTATGTTTCTAATGAAAGATTACAATTCCTTATTGATGAAAGAATTAGAAGCTCCGAGAGTGGACTATTCTGTCCATAATTCAGTAAATTACATGAAGGAGGGGGAGGGGATAAAACGGGACAATGCTATCACGTGTTTGTAATGACAATTCTAAAAGGTAGAAACAATAGAAAGGCTTTCAGGGTGAGATTCTGGGGAAATGATTATCTACAATCTTTATCATCCACTTTCTGATGATCAGATCATTTCTTCCCAAAAAAATACAAAAATATTTATTTTATCTGAAAGAAAAGTATAACTGTCATTGCTTCATCTGTAATTACATTCTAATCTCCCACCGGAATTATATGTGACGTCACAGACAATCCGCCCTCTGACCGCCAAATCCGACACGGAGAACAAAGGAGATCATCAGATGAGACATTTATCGGCGAACAATCACCAACACTTTCACAGCAGATTTATCGATTAATCAGGAATGTCTACAAATGGACTCTGATGATTACTGAATCGTGTGAAACATTTCTATAAAACATTGTATATTTCACTATCAGATCTGTATACGATCATGTCACAATGACCGATGTGTGCTTCTCTCTTTTTAGCCATGTAGCAGTCACTGACCCCCCCCCCCCCCCCCCATATATCACATTCAGAATATTGATAATACGAAATGACTGGTAGAAATAAGAAGTGATCATGACACCGCCAGATAAATATGTACAATGAATCGGTAGAGAAAATCTGACATGTCTGAAGAACCAAATCGGTTTCCTCTTTGTACCTAGAAATCAGCAACATGTTTACAGAATAATACACCTATCATTGCAACAATTCTGTGTTGCTATTCTGTCTCAGTGTTACAATACACATAACATTCGATTTTTAGACCGATCATTTCTTTGTGAGGGGCGAACATTCAACATCAGCCGGGGAGCAAATACTTATTCCCTTCACTGTATCCTCTGTCCCGCTCTGCATCCAGAACCACCAGATTCTAGCAAAGATTCTGCCTTGTTCTTGGCATTGAATGGGACATTGTGAATACCTCGTGTTCTACAAAGACTCCATTGTGCCATGCATCGGTCCAGTTGGGGGCTTTTTGTTCCTTTTTGCCCACCTTATCATAACCGGTTGGGTTATGTCTTTCTAAACCTTTTGATGAAATCTCCCACCATCCCTTCCAAATAGAAATATGAATATAAGGATCAACATCAAATGGAAACCTTTATAGGGCTCTTAAAATCCCAACCTTCCTGCTGGACTGAATCTCTTTTTCTCTGAGTTATTCTTCTAGCCTTCCCATTAACAAAGGAGTCTCTTTATTTAAATGCTTGAGACTATCGCACGTCATATATACTCAGTTGTCATGAATTTTCCAATATTTTACATATGTTTATTTCCTGTGTCAGCCCTATCTAGTGGCCATAATGTGGTATTTTCTTGATAGATGTAATTCGGGAAAATACTGCTTTATGGCCACTAGATGGAGCTGATGATTATAGGAAATAAATGAATTAGACCAACATGTGTTTATTTATGACAGCTGAACAAATGTCTGAGACATTCTCACAGCACATTTACTATAAGTAGGCTCATAGGCTGTGTGTCTCAAGCATTCCCTCAGCTGTCATGAATTATCCCGTATTTTGCTTTCCACCAGTGTATTAAGGTTTGAAAATGAGCCCAATAAAGGAGATTGTTTTGAGATGTTTGGGTTTTTGCCCAAAAATGGAGGAATCTGCAATCAGTCAAGGCTCCTCCTGGGGAAGATGTTGCTGTTGAGGTAGAGTATGGGAGTGTGGACACGCTGGAAGCTCATGTCCGGGCCGGTCACCTTTGATAAGACAACAATCATTTTTTAAAAAAACAATTCTCAACAAATTACAATTGTATCCATGATGTCATATATAGACCCCGGATGGTTTAGTCAGATCAGGGAAAGCTGCTTCCCAACATATGCTTTGGAAACTGTTACACAGTTGGCAGATGTGTTGATATCATTCCTTTCCCGGTAAAGTAATACTAACCCCCCCCACTGTTCAATTCACATTATTCCTTCTCTTTATCATATGGATGGCGGCAACGCCAACGCTTTTGGGATACAGAGTACAAATAAATAATTAATATCAATAAACGGTTTTAAGATTGAGTCATAACAGCTTTGCTAACATTGTGATTAGAGATCAGCGAAGTATTCAAAAATTCGATTCGACTGATTCGGCGAATTTGTGGAAAATATTTCATTCGAGTCGAATATATTTGCTGTGAATTTAACTTAAAAAAGGGTGTTTCTAGGCTTCAGAGAGACTTAATATTAGTGCAGAACATTGTACCTTTAATTTAAATGCCCTTGGAGTCTGCTGGGGAAGAGAAATAATACTGTCAGTCAGTATGACATGCAGATGAGTGCCGTCGATCTTAGAATCACCGCACACTTCACTCATTTGGCCAGTCACGGGGCCAAAACCAGAGTGTGGAGCCACAGTGTGGCGGTGGAGGCAGCAGCAATGGGAGGCCATACAGCAACCTATGACAAAGTGGAAACCAGCAGGAGTGTGAGGAGACCTCAAAGTGGCACATGGCAGAGTGGGAGCAATGGGAGGCGGTACAGGGACCCATGTCACACTGTGGACCCAGCAGCAGCGTGACGAGGCGGTACGGGGCCCATGGCAGATTTGGGGCCTGTCAGCACCTATGGGAGGCCTGTAATCTGCCAGCAACCTATGACAAAATGGAAACCAGCAGGAGTGTGAGGAGACCTGAAAGTGGCACATGGCAGAGTGGGAGCAATGGGAGGCGGTACAGGGACCCATGTCACACTGTGGACCCAGCAGCAGCGTGACCAGGCGGTACGGGGGCCCATGGCAGATTACAGGCCTGGCAGCAGCAATGGGAGGCCCGTAATCTGCCAGCACCCTATGACAAAAAATGGAACACACCAGCAGTGTGTGAGGAGACCTGAAAGTGGCACATGGCAGAGTGTGGCTATGGAGACAGCAGCAATGGGAGGCCGTACAGGGACCCATGAGAGACTGTGGACCTGGCAGCAGCATGAGGAGGCGGTATAGGGGCCCATGGCAGATTAGGGGCCTGGCAGCAGCTATGGGAGGCCCGTAATCTGCCAGCACCCTATGACAAAAAATTGAACACACCAGCAGTGTGAGGAGACCTGAAAGTGGCACATGTTTGGGGCATGATTCATGGCGGATTTAGTCAGTTGTGTCAGGAACTGGTGGTTTGAAATCCAGACTAATCCACGCCTGATTCATTTTCACAAACGTGAGTCTCTCCACACTTTGGGTGGACAGTCGTGTCCTCCGCGGAGTTGCAATACCTCCTGCCGCACTAAACACGCGCTCCGATGCCACGCTACTGGCCGGGTATGACAGCCTTTCAAGGGCAAATTCAGCTAGTTGGGGCCAAAGGTCAAGTTTCGTTGCCCAGTAGTCAAGGGGATTGTCTACCTCGGTTGGCAGGGTGCTGTCCAAGTAGGCCTAAGCCTGTTGTTTGAGGTCCTGCTCCAGGTCCACCTGATGCTGCTGCTGCTGCGGCTGGTTATTAGTTTCCTCACTGCGCTGGTGAAGAAAGCTACTCATCATCGACTGCAGACTGAGGCAGCTGCTGCTGGTGGAGCTGCCACTGCTCCTACCACCCCACCCCTCCCCTGCTGCCATGGCAGCGGAACGCGAGCGCACAGGGCCCACAGTGTCTGAGGATGGACGTTGGCGCAGACAGGCAGAGACCAGCTGACTACATAGGTGGTTTTTATAGTACGTTATTTTGGCTCCCTCTCAGCAGGTGTGAAAAAGGCCACCATTTTTGAACGGTAGCGAGGGTCCAACAAGGTGGACAGCCAAAAGTCATCCCTCTGTCTGATGGTTATTATTCGGCTGTCGGTACGCAAGCAAGCGAGCATGCTATGGGCCATTTGTGCCAAGGAATGCGAGGGACTCCCTGCCTCCATCTCCACAGCATACTGCCACGGTGCGTCTGGGTCCTCTGTCTCCTCTTCCTCCTCCTCTACCAGATGCTCCTGCTCCTCCACTCCTGTCTGCTGAGTGGAAAAACCACCCATTTCACTCAATAATTCCTGAGCACCAATGTCCTCCTCTACCTCCTCCTCTCTCTTCCTGTCCTGCCCCCACAGGGGTCATGTGGCGTTGAGATCTGTGCGCCACGTCTACCGCACCCTGACCAGCCATTGTTAACAGCATTTGTTCCAGGACGTGCAACAGAGGAATGACGTCGTTCATCCCATAGTCCTGCCGACTCACGAATAGCGTGGCCTCCTCAAAGGGCCTGAGCAAGCGCAGGTGTCACGCATGAGCTGCCAATGGCTGACATCTAAGTTACACAGGGAGTACCTTTATCCGCTTTTAACATCAGGAAATCTGTGATGGCCTTTTGCTGTTCGTAAAGGCGGTCTAACATATGTAGGGTTGAATTCCACCTTGTTGCAACGTCACAGCATGAGGAGTCGGTATAGGGGCCCATGGCAGAGTGTGGCGATGGAGACAGCAGCAATGGGAGGCCGTACAGGGACCCATGAGAGACTCTGGACTTGGCAGCAGTATGAGGAGGCGGTATAGGGGCCCATGGCAGATTAGGGGCCTGGCAGCAGCTATGGGAGGCCCGTAATCTGCCAGCACCCTATGTCAAAAAATTGAACACACCAGCAGTGTGTGAGGAGACCTGAAAGTGGCACATGGCAGAGTGTGGCGATGGAGACAGCAGCAATGGGAGGCCGTACAGGGACCCATGAGAGACTCTGGACTTGGCAGCAGCATGAGGAGGCGGTATATAGGGGCCCATGGCAGATTAGGGGCCTGGCAGCAGCTATGGGAGGCCTGTAATCTGCCAGCACCCTATGTCAAAAAATTCAACACACCAGCAGTGTGAGGAGACCTGAAAGTGGCACATGTTTGGGGCATGATTGTGGCGGATTTAGTCAGTTGTGCAGGAACTGGTGGTTTGAAATCCAGGACTAATCCCACGCCTGATTCATTTTCACGGTATAACGTGAGTCTCTCCACAGATTAGGGGGCCTGGACAGTCGTGGAGGCCCGTAATCTGCCAGCACCTATGCACTAAAACGCGCTCCGATGCACACAGCAGTGTGTGAGGAGACCTGAAGTGGCACAGGGCAAATTCAGCTAGTTGGGGCCGAAGGTCAAGCAGCAATGGGAGTAGTCAAGGACCCATGTCTACCTCGGTTGGGCAGCAGGGTGCTGGCCAAGTAGGCCCATGGCAGATTAGAGGTCCTGGCTCCAGCAGCTATGCTGGAGGCCGTAATCTGCCAGCACCTGGTGAAAAAAATTACTCATCATCGACTGCACTGAGGCAGCCGCTGCTGGTGGAGCTGCACTGCTCCTACCACCCCACCCCTCCCCTGCTGCCATGGTAGCGGAACGCGAGCGCACAGGGCCCACAGTGTCTGAGGATGGACGTTGACGCACAAAGGCAGAGACCAACTGACTACATAGGTGGTTTTTATAGTACGTTATTTTGGCCTCCCTCTCAGCAGGTGTGAAAAAGGCCACCATTTTTGAACGGTAGCGAGGGGGTCCAACAAGGTGGACAGCCAAAAGTCATCCCTCTGTCTGATGGTTATTATTCGGCTGTCGCTACGCAAGCAACCGAGCATGCTATGGGCCATTTGTGCCAAGGAATGCGAGGGACTCCCTGCCTCCATGTCCAAAAAATTACACACCAGCAGTGTCTGAGGGACTCTGAAAGTCCTCCTCACATCTACAGATGCTCCTGCTCCTCCACTGGAGACGCTGAGTGGAAAAAGGGACCCATTTGAGACTCAATAATTCCAGAGCACCAAGGCGGTCCTCCTCTATCCCTCCTCTTCTTCCTGTCCTGCCCCCACAGGGGTCATGAGGCCCGTAATCTGTGCGCCACGTCTACCGCACCCTGACCAGCCATTTTAACACATTTGTTCCAGTGAGGAGCTGAAAACAGAGGAATGACGTCGTTCAACAGGGACCCATAGTCCTGCCGACTGAGGAGGCGAATAGCGTGGCTCCTCAAAGGGGCCTGGCAGCGGTATGAGGCAAGCAGCAGGTGTCACGCATGAGCTGCCAATGGCACCCATCTAAGTTACACAGCAGTGTGGAGAGACCTTTTAAGTGGCATCAGGAAATCTGTGATGGCGATGGAGCTGTTCGCAAAGGAGGTCTACAACATATGTAGGGTTGAATTGGACCTTGTTGCAAGCACAGCATGAGGAGGCGGTATAGGGGCCCATGGCAGATTAGGGGCCTGGCAGCAGCAATGGGAGGCCCGTAATCTGCCAGCACCCTATGTCAAAAAATTGAAACACCAGCAGTGTGTGAGGAGACCTGAAAGTGGCACATGGCAGAGTGTGGCGATGGAGACAGCAGCAATGGGAGGCCGTACAGGGACCCATGAGAGACTCTGGACTTGGCAGCAGCATGAGGAGGCGGTATAGGGGCCCATGGCAGATTAGGGGCCTGGCAGCAGCTATGGGAGGCCCGTAATCTGCCAGCACCCTATGTCAAAAAATTGAACACACCAGCAGTGTGTGAGGAGACCTGAAAGTGGCATGGCAGAGTGTGGCGATGGAGACAGCAGCAATGGGAGGCCGTACAGGGACCCATGAGAGACTCTGGACTTGGCAGCAGCATGAGGAGGCGGTATATAGGGGCCCATGGCAGATTAGGGGCCTGGCAGCAGCTATGGGAGGCCCGTAATCTGCCAGCACCCTATGTCAAAAAATTCAACACACCAGCAGTGTGAGGAGACCTGAAAGTGGCACATGTTTGGGGCATGATTCATGGCGGATTTAGTCAGTTGTGTCAGGAACTGGTGGTTTGAAATCCAGACTAATCCACGCCTGATTCATTTTCACAAACGTGAGTCTCTCCACACTTTGGGTGGACAGTCGTGTCCTCCGCGGAGTTACAATACCTCCTGCCGCACTAAACACGCGCTCCGATGCCACGCTACTGGCCGGGCATGACAGCCTTTCAAGGGCAAATTCAGCTAGTTGGGGCCAAAGGTCAAGTTTCGTTGCCCAGTAGTCAAGGGGATTGTCTACCTCGGTTGGCAGGGTGCTGTCCAAGTAGGCCCAAGCCTGTTGTTTGAGGTCCTGCTCCAGGTCCACCTGATGCTGCTGCTGCTGCGGCTGCGGTTGGTTAGTAGTTTCCTCACTGCGCTGGTGAAGAAAGCTACTCATCATCGACTGCAGACTGAGGCAGCCGCTGCTGGTGGAGCTGCCACTGCTCCTACCACCCACCCCCCCCCTGCTGCCATGGCAGCGGAACGCGAGCGCACAGGGCCCACAGTGTCTGAGGATGGACGTTGGCGCACAAAGGCAGAGACCAACTGACTACATAGGTGGTTTTTATAGTACGTTATTTTGGCCTCCCTCTCAGCAGGTGTGAAAAAGGCCACCATTTTTGAACGGTAGCGAGGGTCCAACAAGGTGGACAGCCAAAAGTCATCCCTCTGTCTGATGGTTATTATTCGGCTGTCGCTACGCAAGCAACCGAGCATGCTATGGGCCATTTGTGCCAAGGAATGCGAGGGACTCCCTGCTCCATCTCCACAGCATACTGCCACGGTGCGTCTGGGTCCTCTGTCTCCTCCTCCTCCTCCTCTACCACATGCTCCTGCTCCTCCACTCCTGTCCGCTGAGTGGAAAAACCACCCATTTCACTCAATAATTCCTGAGCACCAAATGTCCTCCTCTACCTCCTCCTCTTCTTCCTGTCCTGCCCCCACAGGGGTCATGTGGCGTTGAGATCTGTGCGCCACGTCTACCGCACCCTGACCAGCCATTGTTAACAGCATTTGTTCCAGGACGTGCAACAGAGGAATGACGTCGTTCAACCCATAGTCCTGCCGACTCACGAATAGCGTGGCCTCCTCAAAGGGCCTGAGCAAGCAGCAGGTGTCACGCATGAGCTGCCAATGGCTGACATCGAAGTTACACAGGGGAGTACCTTTATCCGCTTGTAACATCAGGAAATCGGTGATGGCCTTTCGCTGTTCGTAAAGGCGGTCTAACATTTGTAGGGTTGAATTCCACCTTGTTGCAACGTTGCAGATCAGGCGATGCTGTGGAATTCCGTTCTGCCGCTGCAGCTCAAGGAGGGTGTGCTTTGCGGTGTAGGAATGGCTGAAATGCATGCAAAGTTTACGTGACATTTTAAGGATGTCTTGCAGTGGGATGGTGGGATTTTAGGAACCGCTTGACAACCAGATTTGAACACGTGAGCCATGCATGGCGCATGGCACAACCTTCCTTGACGCAGAGCAGACACCATGTTTCTTTCCGTTGTCGGTCAACATGGTTCCGATTTTCAGTTTGCGCGGAGACAGCCATCTGTCGATTTCTCTGTTCATTACACTGAGAAGTTCCTCCCCCTGTGTGAATACGTTCGCCAAGGCATACCAGGTGCAGCACAGCGTGACACCGTTGCGCCCTGCACATGTGATATGCCGGTCGGGTAATGGGACTTGGCACGGGGGTGGCGGCTGAGGACACGGCGGAAGAAGAGGTGGTAGAGGCGGACATCTTTTGTGGACCAAGGACGTGCAAACGTGGATGCAAAAGCGGCGTGACCTGTCCAAGTTGCTGGTGCGGCTGTGCCGGCACCACGTTCACCCAGTGGGCCGTAAATGACATGTACTGTCCCTGACCGTAGTTACAGCTCCACACGTCGGCGCTGCCGTGCACTTTGGCAGAGACCGACATGCTCAAAGACTGGCCCACCATCTCTTCTACATGTGAATGCAGGGCTGGCACTGCCTTTTTGGCGAAGAAATGCCGGCTTGGCACTCTCCACCGCGGCGCGGCACAAGCTATCATTTCTCGGAAAGGTGCTGAGTCCACCACTTGGAAAGGGAGGGACTGCAGCACCAGCAACTTGGACAGGAGGACGTTCAGCTTTTGCACCGTCGGGTGCGTGCTCGCAAACTGTTGTCTCTTGGAAACGGATTCCAAGAAAGACTGCTGACGGAATCCGTGAAGAGGAGTAGCAGGAGAAGGAGCATCTGACTGAGCGGAAGATGCCAATGAGCGACAACTCCCCTCAGCAGAGGTGTTGGAGCCTTGACTGGCTGATGGAGGGCGATTGACGTCGGGTGACGGAGAAAGTAACGGAGCGGGTGATGGAGCGGGGGCTGGGGCGGGCAGAACCGCCGTATCTTTATCACGGTTTTCCCAGGCCACCAAATGGCGACGCTGCATATGCTGCCGCAATGCTGTAGTCCCAACATGGGCCCCCTGGCCACGCTTGACTTTCTGGCCACATAGTCGACATACGGCTACGTTTACTTCCTCGGGAGGCTTGACGAAAAATTGCCACACCGCCGAGTAGGAAGCTTTGCCCCCGCTACTCCTCACTGGCTGACTGCTACTTCCTCCGTGCACACCGGCACCACTACTGGCCGTGGTGGTAGGCTGCAGTGGAGCTGGTGCTCTACTCCGTGGCCGTTTGGCTCCACTGACACTGCTTCCACTGACACTGCTGCGACCCTGCTGCTGTCTCCTGGGCAACCCACCGACTGTTTCGCTCACTGCCAAGCTGCCACCCTCTTCTCCTGATGATGCGGAAGAAATTGCCTGATGACGACGAGGCTGCCAAGTGCGATCAACCTCCTCATCATCAAGTAGGGTCTCCGCCTCACTACTAGCCCCCTCGGCTGCGTCTGGGTCAGGAGACAGACCTGTCTCTAGACCGGCTACCGAGCCACTCTCCTCGCCAGTACTTCTTCGCCTGGCTGCTGAAAAGGCAGATGTCTCCCCCCGTTCCTGACCGCCCTCTGTTAGCTCTTCCTCACTGTACAGTGGGGCTGAGCCCACAGCATGCGATACTTCGCTTGGTGAGGGAACACCAAAGGACAGGGGCAGGTAGAGGACACGTGATTTCAGTGGGCTTGGTCCCGGGCCATGCCAACTAACGGTTGTGTCTGACGTACCCACCGACTGTTGGCTGTAGGTGTCAGAGGTGACCTGGGAAGAGGAAGACGACCGAGCCAACAAATCGATGACGGCAGGGTTGTCGGTGGAGACACGACCGCTGGATGACACCGGGAGAACTGGCCTCTGGCTGCGAATAGTGCTGCCTCGACCCCTTCCTATGCTGCCACGTCTGCTCGCTCCTAAAACATTGCCTCCTCTGCCACTCCTCTGCATGTTGTCTGACATACTCTTTAATTCAACGATTCTGTGTCCCTGAGTAACAATTCTGTGTCCCTGAGTAACAATTTTGTGTCTGTCCCTGAGTAACAATTCTGTGACCCTGAGTAACAATTCTGTGTCCCTCTGTAACAATTCTGTGTCTGTCCCTGAGTAACAATTATGTGGCCCTAAGTAACGGTTCTGTGGCCCTCAGTAACAATTCTGTGTCCCTGAGTAACAATTATGTGGCCCTCAGTAACAATCCTGTGTCCCTCAGTAACAATTATGTGTCTGTCCCTGAGTAACAATTCTTTGGCCCTAAGTAACAATTCTGTGTCCCTCAGTAACAATTATGTGTCTGTCCCTGAGTAACAATTCTGTGGCCCTAAGTAACGGTTCTGTGGCCCTCAGTAACAATTCTGTGTCCCTCAGTAACAATTATGTGTCTGTCCCTGAGTAACAATTTTGTGTCCCTAAGTAACGGTTCTGTGGCCCTCAGTAACAATTATGTTGCCCTCAGTAACAATTCTGTGTCTGTCCCTGAGTAACAATTCTGTGGCCCTAAGTAACAGTTCTGTGGCCCTCAGTAACAATTCTGTGTCCCTGAGTAACGTTTCTGTGGCCCTAAGTAACGGTTCTGTGGCCCTCAGTAACAATTCTGTGGCCCTCAGTAACAATTTTGTGTCTGTCCCTGAGTAACAATTCTGTGGCCCTAAGTAACGGTTCTGTGGCCCTCAGTAACAATTCTGTGTCCCTGAGTAACAATTATGTGGCCCTAAGTAACGTTTCTGTGGCCCTCAGTAACAATTATGTGGCCCTCAGTAACAATTCTGTGTCTGTCCCTGAGTAACAATTCTGTGGCCCTAAGTAATGGTTCTGTGGCCCTCAGTAACAATTCTGTGTCCCTGAGTAACAATTCTGTGGCCCTAAGTAACGGTTCTGTGGCCCTGAGTAACAATTCTGTGGCCCTCAGTAACAATTCTGTGTCTGTCCCTGAGTAACAATTCTGTGGCCCTAAGTAACGGTTCTGTGGCCCCAGTCAGTAACAATTCTGTGGCCCTCAGTAACAATTTTGTGTCTGTCCCTGAGTAACAATTCTGTGGCCCTAAGTAACGGTTCTGTGGCCCTCAGTAACAATTCTGTGTCCCTGAGTAACAATTATGTGGCCCTAAGTAACGTTTCTGTGGCCCTCAGTAACAATTATGTGGCCCTCAGTAACAATTCTGTGTCTGTTCCTGAGTAACAATTCTGTGGCCCTAAGTAATGGTTCTGTGGCCCTCAGTAAACAATTCTTCTGTGTCCCTGAGTAACAATTCTGTGGCCCTAAGTAACGGTTCTGTGGCCCTGAGTAACAATTCTGTGGCCCTCAGTAACAATTCTGTGTCTGTCCCTGAGTAACAATTCTGTGGCCCTAAGTAACGGTTCTGTGGCCCTCAGTAACAATTCTGTGTCCCTGAGTAACAATTCTGTTGCCCTAAGTAACGGTTCTGTGGCCCTCA